GTTATACATACATCTACATTCTTTTTCATATTCTTTTCCATTATAGTGATGCATGTTTCATTTTAATTATGTGCAGACTGTGTAAGCAATGACTCACTAGGTCTGTGTGGAAAGATTTTCCAAGGGGGAATTTTCACAGTTGTCCCTTCAGTGTTGTGTTTTCTACAGAGAAAAAGAAAACACAAGGGGACAAAAGGGTGTGCTGTCAGGGCCAGGGCCTTTGACAAGGTGGGTGGGGTTCTCTCTGGCCCTAGTCTAACTTTGTGACCTTGAACACTAAGACAGGAAAGTAGCAACAATCCCACGCCGATAGGTAGCATCCTGAGGAGTCCCCCTCTGCACCAAGGCAGAGTTATCCTCTCAAATCAGGGCACTCCCTGAAGGGCCTTCCATGGCTCCCTATTTTCCATAGGACAAAGTCCAAATTCCTTAGCAAACCTCCCAAGACCCCGCATAATTTGAGGGCATTTCCTAGTTTTTCTACACACGGCTCATTTCTTGCAGAGTAGTCAGTGGGCCTCAGGGGCACAAGGAGGAGAATAAAGCACTAAGTCCTTCGCTGGGGAGAGGCCTATTGCAAAGAAGAGCCTTCAGATACAGGGTCACCTCCACCTAGAAGCCTTCCCAGATTGCCCCAAGTAGAAATGACCTCTCCTTCCCTCGTGGCCCAGTCTGCACTGAAGAGACACTTCAGGTGAAACCTGTCCACACGTTGCACTGTTGTAGCACGATTCTCTCCCTCTGGCAGATTAGAAGCCCCACGTGGACAGGCCCAACTGTTGTCTTCGGACAAAGCCTGGGGCAGCACCTAAATAGAGTAGGCCGTCAATCAAGGCCTCTAGGCTAACCAGCCACATAAACGAGTATCGTGTGAAAGGAATGTTCTCGGTGTAGCAGCACTTTCCTAGGGACTACGCTGAAGACCTCTCTCCCCTCAGTTGGTGCTGAAATGCTGCAGCTGTTAATGGACGCTCGGCTCTGAGGGACCGGGATGCAGACCCTTACTGGGTCTCACTGGAGGCTGTTCTCTGCCCGGGAGCAGCAGGCCTGTTGTAACGATGACCTGCAGGCTGTGAGTGGCCCCCAGGACAGGGACAGCGCTGCAGTCAGCGCTGCTCACATCACCCCCGACCTCCTCGCTGCCGGCCCACTCACCCACCCAGAGGGGAAGTCCTGTGCTCGCTTTCCTTTCCCCACAGGTAGAACGCTCCACTTTCTTTCTTTTTAAGCTGTTTGGACTTTGTTTCCTCCTTTGATGCCATGACCCCCTCGGTGGCTCCAGAGGGGACCTCCTGTGCTTCCCTCCTCTGCACAGAGCACTGGCTGACACCTGTCCTGTGTCCCGGGCAACCCCGAAGCAGCCCCGCGATGCCTGTCCACTCAGAGCGTTTAACTACTGTTTAAAACTCAAGAGCTCGTTGCAGGAAAATAGCACTAAATAATATGAAATACTAGAGTCCTGTAGGAATAGGAACCGAAGTGCACGATGAACACTATAGGAGTGGGAATAGGAACAGAAATGTATATTAATGCTATAGTAATGGTAACAGTTTAGCATAGTGTAGTAATACTAAAGTGCTATAGGAATAGGAATGGGAATATACTATTAATGCTATAGTAATGGTACCAGTTTAGTATAGTGTACTAATACTAAAGTGCTATAGGAATAGGGACAGGAATATACTATTAAGGCCATAGTAATGGTAACACTTTAGTATAGTGTACTAATACTAAAGTGCTATAGGAATAGGGATGGGAATATACTATTAACGCTATAGTAATGGTAACAATTTAGTTTAGTGTACTAATACTAAAGTGCTATAGGAATAGGAATGGGAATATACTATTTATGCTATAGTAATGGTAACAGTTTAGTTTAGTGTACTAATACTAAAGTGCTATAGGAATGGGAGTATACTATTAAGGCCATAGAAATGGTAACACTTTAGTATAGTGTACTAATACTAAAGTGCTATAGGAATAGGGATGGGAATATACTATTAATGCTATAGTAATGGTAACACTTTAGTATAGTGTACTAATACTAAAGTGCTATAGGAATAGGGTTGGGAATATACTATTAATGCTATAGTAATGGTAACAGTTTAGTTTAGTGTAGTAATACTAAAATGCTATAGAAAGAGGAATGGGAATATACTATTAATGCTATAGTAATGGTAACAGTTTAGTATAGTGTACTAATACTAAAATGCTATAGGAATAGGGACAGGAATATACTATTGATGCTATAGTAATGGTAACAGTTTAGTATAGTGTAGTGATACTAAATTACTATAGATAGTACTTTAGTACTTTCCTACAGTAGAAGGAAAACAGTACTAAATAACAAAATCAGTACTAAATTTCGTGGTGGTAACAATATTTTTTAAGCCTTAATGAGATGTTTTTCCTCTTTCTGGATACTTTCCACTTCACACACAATACTTCTGCAGTTCTGATGCCTGTTCAATTGAAAATTTGTAAACAAAGATATTTTTTAAGTGTTGGTGTAGCAAGAACATAACTAGGATAAAAAGGACACGAAACGCTTTTGCCACATTCGTATTCATGCTGTGTTTGAATGTCGGTATTGTCAGTCAGGATTCCTCTGGTTGCAAGGGGCAGAAACCTGCCTGGACCTGGCTTCCGCGGACGTGGGCACCGTCTTGCTCAGGAAGGGTTGAGGGGGCCGCAGGGACACAGCTGGGCCTCAGGGAGAGCTGAAAGCAGGGCTCTGAGACCACAGCATTCTCTCGTCACCCCGAGTTCTCCGTGAATGTCAGGTGCATCCTCTGTCTCACCTGCAGACCGGCTTTGGCCGTGTGGCTAAAAGGCATGGTGTTCAGACAGCTTGAGAGTTCTAGTTTCTGATCAATTCTGCCACCAGAGCTGGAATACGTAACCTACCCCAAAAAAGGCACCATGTCAGCCCCTCCCAGGTCTCGGCCCACCGTGGCCAAAGGTGGAGCACTGTGGTTGGCCCAGCAGGAGCCAAGTTCCTTGTCCACTCCAGAATATTCAGGAGCAGCATCCCAGGAGGATGAGGCCATGTCCACAGGACGGGAGGGGAGTTAATGGCAGCTCAGTTTCTAAGAACGAGAGGTCTAGACAGTCAGTACTACAGGTGTGATCCACACTCTCCCTTTAGGGGGTCTCATAACCTGATTCTCTCTCTCACAACCCAGCTGCACAGTTGAAGGGGACAGAACAGAGGGCTTGTGGCTGGTGACCCTTGAAATGTTCATCAGTAGCAAGAACGCATTTTCCTAGTAATTAATCCTCATCTCTTCTACCAGATGCCAGTTCAGCAATCTCATACCATGAGATTCAACTTTCATTCATTTTATTTTATTCACTTATTCAGAGCATATATTTCTTTTTTAGTGTTTTTTTATTTATTTTTGGCTGCGTTGGGTCTTCGTTGCGGTGTGCGGGCTTCTCATTGCGGTGGCTTCTCTTGTTGCGGAGCACAGGCTCTAGGTGCATGGGCTTCAGTAGTTGTGGCTCGTGGGCTCAGTAGTTGTGGCACGCGGGCTCTAGAGCGCAGGCTCAGTAGTTGTGGCACACGGGCTTAGTTGCTCCGCGGCATGTGGGATCTTCCCGGACCAGGGCTCGAACCCATATCCCCTGCATCGGCAGGCAGGTTCTCATCCCCTGCGCCACCAGGGAAGCCCCGCATATATTTCTTGAGGGCCTATTTTGTATCGGACGCTCTGCTCATGTGGAAGATATAAAAATGACCAAGACGTAGTCCCTGCCACAAAGAGGTTACAGTCTCGTGAGAAAGGCAGCCTTGGAAACATGTGGCGACCACATGTGATGACCAAGGTGTGACCATCAAGGTATGAATTCAGTGCTGCAGGATTCGATGTGGAGACAGAGAGGGAATGGACGCATATATCAACCCACATTGTAAACACAATCCACGTGCTTCCTCTTCTCCGATCAGTTATTAGCATCAGGACGTTCCCTCCCTCATCCAATGGATTGTGTTTACCCAGCACTTTCATTCACATCCTCTTCACACCTCAGAATCATCAGCCATGTGAAGCAGGTAACGCAAGGATTATCTTCCTCATTTTGCACGTGAAGAAATCACGATCCCACGGCGAGTCCATGACAGCACGGGCCCTCCGACCCATGCCTAGGTCTCCAGTACAAGGCCAGAGCCACTGTGCTACGCTATCTACTGCTGGATACAGAAACCCTTCTGGAAAAAGAAACCTCGTCCTGATCTGTCCCCAGCGACACGCAGAAGGACTCTGACCCGCGTTCAGCAGCCATCTGGGTCCTAATCTACGTGTGGCCTTCAACACTCTGCCCTCCGTCGGTGCCTCTGGTCTCTGACCCCCACCGAGTCTCCATCCCCAGCCCCGTATGAGGCCAGGTCTGTCTGCTGCTCTCGGATCTCACTGATACAGTGATGAGAAGGGACTCGGCACTGACCAAGGAAAAGTCACACATAAGATGTGAATATGGATCCCATTCTCCAGAGCGGTGTGTCTAAGACTTCAAAGTGTCCATCAGTCATCTGCAGTTGCATCTCGTCCAAGTGCAGATTTGATGGAGCGGGTTTGACATAGGACCCAAATTTTCTATTTCTAGCAAGCTCCCAGTGATGCTGAGGCTGCTGGTCCGCAGACCACACTTGGAGAAGCAAGGATCTGGATTGAGGATGCTAACGCATCTCAGCCGCTCTTGGGAAAGACAGCAAGTCACTCGGCTGGTGCTTTCTTAAAAAACTTGAGATGGAAAATAGACATGTGACCTCGAAAAAAATATTATTATAAAGACATGTTTATAGGAGGAACCCTGAGGTGAAAATTAAAAGGTCTTGTAAACTTATGTGTATCACACAGCCCACCTCTGCTTCACTTGCCCTGAGTTGAAAGTAACAAATCACCTCCAGCTAATTAATGCATGTGATGTTGTTTGGAACAAAACCTTATGGAAAATGCAGGTTATAACCCATGGTATTTTTCTTGTCTTTTTCTCTATAGGAGATGTCAGTGAAAAAAAGGGTCCGGAATGATTACTAACCCATGACTCCCAACAGTATGACAGGTATCTGTTTTATTTTCTTTACTCTGTGTGTTTCCATTTTTGTTCCACCCAAAGAGAAATATAGGCTTCCTAAAAGACCAACCTAAGAGTCTTAGCAACAGTTATTTCCCAGCCAATGAGTGTTATTAAATGCAAATATATCCATACTCTGGTTTCTTTTCAGCTCGTATAAATCTTTCGCCTTTTACTAAAGATTTCTGTGGGGGGGGGGGGTGGAAATGCAAATATATCCTGTGACTACATCCCAACAAATGTGCTTCCAGCTTTTTCGGAAGCCTTGAGATGCATCATCACCAGGAACATGATGGGAGGAAATGATAATTCACAGTGAAATCCTAGTTTCCAGCCTTCCCAAGGTTACCCTCTCACACGCAATACTTTTACCTGCCACATTCATTCAGATCAGTATAAGAAATGGCTCTAGGTACTCAGTGACCACTGAGTTCAGACATCTTCCTGATGGAATATTCAGCAGCAGAGTCAGAATGGAACATGATGAGAGCACATAAGCTGAAGTGAGCTAGAAAGCAAGGGACAGAGGCGAGACAGAACGCCCCCGAGGAACAGAAGGTTGCAATAGCACGATTCTCTGTTCAACGCACAGAGCTGGGATTACAAACTCACAGGCCCCAGGGGCCAGATGGGTAACGCCCATGCCCCAGACAGCTGGCTGTCAGGAAAAACAAACCAGACAGGAGAACCAGGCAACAAGCAGGGAGGGAACCCAGTGTGTCCAGAGATTTCAAATTTTCAAGAGAAGCTGGAAGCCAGATTTGGAATGAAATATCCCCATTTCTGTTTGGTTTTTTGGGGGGCCGCGCTGCACGGCATGCGGGATCTTAGTTCCCTGACTAGGGATCAACCCCTTGCGCTCTGCAGTGGAAGCACAGAGCCCTAACCACTGGACTGCCAGGGAATTCCCCAAAATATCCCCATTTCTAAATGCAAGCAATTAACATATAAAAATATCAAGGATTCATGGGCCAGTCAAAATACGTCTTCTGACTAGAATCAACCGTGGGCTCTCAGTTTATAACCACACCTTCCAGCCCAACCCCAAGCCTAGGACTGTCGTTTGGTTACCATGGCAGCAGGGCAGGTACCCACAGACCTCAGCCTTCTGCAAGTTTACAAGCCTTAACGTAATGACCATAACCTTACATCCCCCAGAATCACTGCCCTGTCTCTCGACCCATTGATACTCGAGTTCCTGGTGCAGCAAAAAGATAGAGCACCTGAACAAACTGGAATGATTCACACCTGTAGGATAGCCTCGGAATCCCATCTTATCTTCCCATCTTATTTCTCAGTGACAGTCACCAAAACACACCCTCCCCCATTTCTGTGTCACTGCCAACTTGACCATTGTAGCATGGAAGGCCATGGACCATACATAAACAAATAGGCGTGGCTGTATCTCAATAAAACTTTATTTACAAAACAGGCAGCAGGCCAGCTTTGGCCCGAGGACTGTAGTTCGCTGACTCTTATTCTAGGGGTCAGGATAGCCTTATTGTTGAGCAGAATCCCCAGGCCAAATCAGCTCATCTCCAGGACAGAGCTAGAAATCCAGGCTTACTCTAAGACGGTTCTGTATTAAGCCAGCTTTCAGCCCATCTGCGGATGCGGGATGCTTTCCCTGTGGGCTGGGCTGGAACCAGCTGCCCCTCCTCCCCGTGTAGGAGGATGCTTTTGCTTCCCAGCATTTGCTTCATAGCATAGAAACTAACAGCAATTCTATTTTCAAAAGAAATCTACTCCACACATGCATATGCTCAGTCTATGTTAATGGGCTCAGCTGAGAAAATCATTGCTTTAGACTCCCTTGTTTGTGGATGAAATAAAACAGTGTCCTTTTCCCTCTGTCTTTTCCTATGGTCTCAAGCTGCATGTTTATTTTAAGAAACCTAAAAGGAGACCATAATAAAGCTGTAAGTCATCAGAACTAAGTGCTTGCTTTAAAAGCATAACTTAAAGGGCAAATATGCATATTTTCTTTTTGAAACACATAATATGCAAATATGCATATTTTCTTTTTGAAACACATAATGGGTACTATTACTGTTATGCAATACAGGAAATCAATTAACCTTTATGAAAAGAAAACCAATTTTTAAACGAACAGCAGTAAGAACATTGAATGCGTTTTGCCAAAACCCAGCAGACAAGCATTTTCAGATTAAAAAAACGCCTTCAGCCACTTAGGAAATTTCTGTATTTTGCACTAACTCAAATGGAGAATGGTTTATTTTCTGGGGCTATTTAATATCCACTGCAGTGGAGTCAAGCCCTGCTAAAATGTTCTCGTTGCTCTACCTTAACCTAATTTGACATTAGGATTGTATGAAATCGCTCACCGAAAATACTGATTCTTAGAGGAAAGGAAGGAAGTGCCTTGATACCGTATTTTATTGGTTGGGATTAAGCACGGCTTCCTAGGGAATCTTTGGGGGACTCTGCTAACATTTATGCCATTATAATGAGCTCCACTTTGCAGAAAATCATGATTCGTTGCATAGGGGAGTTTGTTCTAAGATATGAATACCTAGAATTTTAAATACCCAAATGAGAGGCTTTTAGCCTTGACTGAAAAGGGACCTAAGAACTCGGACCCCTCTAAATGTGCCTGGAGAGGCAGAAACAGGGCTCTATTACATTGACCCTGACCTGGTTCTAGGGAGTTAGGATGCGACATAAAGTCACCCCTGTGATGAACCTGCCACGTGAATAACATAGACCTAACTCAGCAGTGTGACCTGCGCCTCTTCTCTGTGACCTGCTTGTTCATCTAACTTCCCAGCTGCGACCTTTGCCTTCTCGTTTTTCTCGCTCAAGGCATTATGTTCAGTGTGTCCCAGGGGCAAGGGGAGGAGTGTCTGCATGATGGGAAAGACCGGAGCGCTCTGTAGGTGTCCCAGTGTTTTCGCTGTGTGATCCTCAGGTTGTTTGCGTGCTTGTTTCGTGTGTGTGTTTGTTTCTTCATTTTTTTTAATGGCGGTATAGTTCTTTTACAATGTTATGTTAGTTTCTGCTGTACAACGAAGCGAATCAACTGTTTGTATACATATATCCCCTCCCTCTTGGATCTTCCTCCCTTCCCCTCCCCCCCGGCCCACCCATCTAGGTCACCACAGAGCACCGAGCTGATCTCCCTGTGCTATACAGCAGGTTCCCACTAGCTATCTGTTTTACACGTGGTAGTGTACATATGTCAATCCTAATCTCCCAATTCATCCCACCACCCCCGGCCCTCCCTGTGTCCACACGTCCATTTTCTACATCTGCGTCTCTATTCCTGCCCTGCAGATTGGTTCATCTGTACCATTTTTCTAGATTCCACATATATGCGTTAATATACGGTATTTGTTTTTCTCTTTCTGACTTACTTCACCCTGTATGACAGGCTCTAGGTCCACCTACGTCTCTACAAATGACCCATTTTCATTCCTTTTTTCAAAAAGGAAAGAAAGCAAATTTGTCGTTGGCGGTAGGAGGTCATGACGGGGAGGGTTCTTTACCCTTCCCAACGTCTTGTATAGGTGGGAGGTTGGAGGCCACAGAAAAGGCAGTAGATGGGGGCACATGCCCCACTCTGAACAATATAGAAGAATCTGATTTAGATGCTTTGTATCAAAGCCCCTTGTCCTGATTTGTTAAGCATGATGAAATTTACATTTCTCACTACACCTGAGGTTGAAATTGTTTTGCATGTCTGTTGGCCACTTGTATTTTTTTTCTTCGTCCGTAACTTCCTTGCTTGTTCATATATAGTGTCCAATTGCCCGTTGCGGGTTTTATAGTTTTCTCATTATTTGTAGAAGCAATTTATTACGTATTCAAGATAATAACAAAGCAAGCCACCTAATGTCTCTAGAGGTTGACTTCCTTGTCAGTTAAAGGAGAAAGTGAGAAATTCTCCCTCTACTTTGAAGATTAGGTCGCACCTCAGATGTGAACATTTGTAAATCACATTTTCATAAAGTCGGGCATGGGTACATTGAAGGCTGGGTGTAGAGAAAAAGGGCACCCTGGAGAAAGTTTTTTTGTGTGTTTTGGGATAATCCTAATGTATAGGTTTTTCAGTCAAACAAATCACCTAAGCTGGGGAAGCTCGTGTTTTATTGTAAAGCCCATGTCATTTTCAAAGGTGGCCTTCCTAGCGTTCCTGAGGCTTTCCAACCCCTCCTTATGACCGCTGCCTTCCTTCCTTCAGAGATAGAACCACAGTTGTGCTCTTGTTCTACAACCTATGGAGAATATCTCCTCACGAGGCCAGAGCTTGCTCACAGCCAGATAATGACGCCACTCAAAGGTAATGAATGTTGGGCTTCCCTGGTGGCGCAGTGGTTGAGAGTCCGCCTGCCGATGCAGGGGACACGGGTTCGTGCCCCGGTCCGGGAAGATCCCACATGCCGTGGAGCGGCTGGGCCCGTGAGCCATGGCCGCTGAGCCTGCGCGTCCGGAGCCTGTGCTCCGCAACGGGAGAGGCCACAACAGTGAGAGGCCCGCCTACCGCAAAAAAAAAAAAAAAAGAGATAATGAATGTTAACGGCTTGCGTGTTGTTAGCATTTCCCATCAAAAATGTTCTTCCAAAATGGGATTCTGTTCACAGCTACTTAGTGACCCATCAAACCCGTGTTAGGCTTTTAATATACTATTATCATAAATAATGTTATAATGAACCACAGTGTACATAATGTGACACCTCTCTGATTATTTCCTCAGGATAAATTCTACGAAGTAAAAAAAACCAAAAATACTGGGTCAAAGGGACTGAACATCTTTCAAAACCTTTTCTGTTGCCAAATCGTAACCAGGTTCCTGGACCAATCAGCACTGTAGTGTCCATTTTATCACATATCCTCTAACTTTGGAGTTTTGTAGTAGTTTAATTTTGAGAAAGGCAATTAATTAGGCAAAGTTTTATCACAGTTTTTATCAAAGTTTTTCAAAACTTTACATTTTTCTTATTGATAATAGATTTGACTACACACACACA